CTCTGCGTTTGCAGAAGCCACAACCTGTAGTCTCCCAGCACTTCAATGCTCAATGCCAGACCTTGTAGTTCAAGGCTTTGCCGGCGCAGGAACAGATCTCATTTTGGACCCTGGCAACGTCAGGTCTACAGCTACTTCGAGAGTCGTGGCTGCGACCGGGAGGGCTGGAACGAGGCTATCTGCTTGAAACTTGTGACTTCATTTAAGACCTGGCATTCTCGCTACGCCGGCTCTGACTTTATGGGCCCGGAAGGCTGATTTGATTTTGCTACGGCAGCTGTGTGCATGGCAAATGCTCTGCGGTTCCAGCATGGGCAGAGAGAGTTTCAAGGGCAATGACATGTGAGCAGTTGGCAGACCTAGAGGGTCCTCAGTCGCACCGAGCCGGGTGCTGATGAACAGTCTACCCACTCACTAGGCGCTTGAATTTTGAGACGACCTATTCAGCCTCTGACTCTCTGTGAGGATGCCCCTGCAGAGCTTTTCCTAAGTCTCATAGACCTGCGGCCCCTGAACAGTCCAAGTGGAAGGTTTGCTTTTTCGGCCTTCAATACTTCATCAAACGCTATTTGATGGGCAAGGCGCTCTGCGGCACGCATGTTCAGGCTTTAATTTCATTCTGAGGGGGGGGAGGGGGGTCTAGGTATGCAGGTCCAGTGACGTTGGCAACATAAATCCCAACCCATGGAATAGAACATGAAATGAGGACTCGGCTTGTATAGTTCTTTCATAACGCAGGATGTTCTTTATTTATCCGAAGTTGTTGGCTTTGGAACAGCAGGTATGTTGTCAACTACCAGGTATCCATAAGTCCACCTTGCCTCCCAATCGCAATTACTGACTGTTGCTTAAGGGAGACGGGGAGTGGATGTCACAAGAACCTATATAATCAATCTCTGAATACTGAATTGGCTCCTTCATGCCCATGTCCCTGGTTGTCGCGCCTCTTTAGACACCACACCCTTCCGGGGTTGATATGAGACCACCCTCTCATCGCTCAGTGTTAGATGTACTGACCTGATGTATATGGGCTGGCTTAGGCCATATTGAGCACTGCAAGCCTTTCTACCACGCATTTTTTTTTTCTCGTGCATGGAGCCCTGGTATCAGCTGAACTTCAGCCACAGCTGAGAAGTGAATTACACTCCTCGAAAGCAAGCATTTAGCTTGAAATGGGCGCTGCAAAGGCTGCAGTCTAGCTTACAGTAGGGGCCAGTATGGGGTTCCGAATTAGTTGGAGATGGTACTTAATTTAACAAGGAAGGTCTTGGTCCCACTATTCTCATGGAGCGCGCAAACGCGCGAGTCTACACCCAAGCCCCGCATGTTGGCAGGTTATCACCCGCGAGAAAATCGACGAGGCCGCGGAGTTCCCTCGTCAGCACTCCAGGTTTTGGGGTTTGTGGGTTTCGGTCTGTGGTAGGCTTTGAAGTAATCAGAAGTTGAGTGCGCATGGCCAGCGACAAGCGCATAACCTCCCAAACATTACCTGCGTGACATGCTTTGGTTAGGAGGAGGTCTGAGCAGTTCCTGAACCCACACAAACGCAGCGATCGAAACATGCCACTAGTTTAAATGGCAGCGTGAATCCTGATGCTAAAGCGAAGCAAAAACCTACGCGATAAGTCTGAATTTGAAGCTTTTCAGATCCCCAAGCCTGAGCCCACACATGCTCACTTTGAGAGCAAGTTTCGCATACAGCCTTCAGCTGAGGCTCTGCTCGGAGCACTTTCAAGGCATGCGGAGCAGCTTATTTGGCCTAGCTGGGTTTGATGCGGACATCAGTGCCAAAAATTCAGAGAAGTTGATTCGGCCTTGCTTTACGATCTACGTCATGTAGATGCGCACAATCTTTGTCTTGTTTTGCGCACGATGGTACCTTTAAGCGCTCAGGTCCAGATTTGAAAGCCATTGAGGTTCAGGTTTTAGGCTCAGGAACGTTTGCTTAAGAGCTGTGTGCGATTCTGGCATGCAGTCCAAAGGTGTCTTAGATACTGAAGGTCAAGCCTCAGGTTTCAATTGCGCTTGAAGCTTCTGTCTTGCAGTCTTGGCCAGGCGATGGCCTGTTCTACAAGGAGGGTGGCCTGGAAGCAAGAACATGCTAAAGGGAGCAGCTCTCCCCTTGCCGCTTTGTCACTTGTGTTTGCCTCATTTTTTTGGTGCAACTGCCGCAGGCTTGAGAGGGGATGATGCACCAAGACATGGTTGACTTTCTGGGCGGGATGCCAGCAGCGTCGTCAATTAACCTACTAACAAGCCCCGCCTAGATAAGTTTCCAAGAAGGTGCTTAACAAATGAAGGTGCCCAAGGCCGCATGCTCGGCAGAGTGCCCATATTGCGCCTGTCGTCTTTGGAGTCTCCTCAGCCTTGTGATAGTCTTGAATTCATCGAGCCTGAAGTTTCAAGCTAGATCCCTACCGTGGATGGAGGATATCTTTCGCCACGTTTCATTCAAAATGGGAGGGTTTCCAAAAAAAAGAGGCTCCCTCGCAGGAGTCTTGATACGACGGATGATTGCATATTGGGATCCAGATTGGGGCTTGCCATTTCTGGAAATCCCCATCTCATATAAGGAAATACAACATTATGGCTCAAGGTTTCCTCCGTCCACCGTGGTCCAAAGTGGTACGTATTATATGCTGCATGCCATGCTGGAATTCCCTGTACAAGAAGTCTCACCGTTAGCTTACGTGCATGGGTGACCGAGGTTTCGAATACATCCTCAAGACACATGGAGGCAGGTTGCAGTCTTTGTTGTTTGTGAGAAGTCCCAGTTGGCTTGCGTCCCGCAAATTTTCTTGAAATGCAATCTTCTGGAAGGTCCACATACTGTTGTAGTCAGGCCGGAATAGTACAAAGCTGAAATTGTGTCGGCTTGCCTCACTTTGTGACAATGCAGGGTTCTGCTTCTGCGCATGAGTGTGCCATTGTTGCAGCACCAGATGCATCCAATTTTGATGTTCTCCAACTTGAGTTCCTCCAAGGAGACGTCGTGGATTATGTTGTGATTGTGTAGGACATCCAGAGACCCCTCAAATGGCACAAGAAGTTAGCAAGCTAGCTCACTTGAAGCTGTCGCAGCTCAGCTTTGCGTAGCTCTTTTCATCGCTCATCAGCCCTGCTGTTCAAAGCAGCAATGGAGGTGTGTTATTGGGAGCCCGACTGTTGCCTGTAGCCATGGACCCTTAGCCTGGCTTGACGGATGCAAGTTGTGGGAATCTTTGTCAGGATCGCTACAATGAGAATCCTAGTATCTTAGGGTCGCATGAGGGCCGACGATCTCAAAAAAGATCAAGTCATATGTGCGCAAACCATGCGCCTTTTCAAGTAGCTTCAAATCAACGAATTAAGACCACTGCGCTTGACATACACAACCTAGCCAACGCACCAAAACAAGCGGTTTTTGCTCTTCAGAACAAACTGCCCATCACGCGTCTTCTTCTTCCCACCGCCAAGCTTTCCTCGAGCCCCAATTTCTTGCTCCTTGAGCCCTGGCCCCGTAGCCTTAATCCCTAAACCTCCATGCCTCCAAAATCTACGACCATCATGGATGAGCACGCAGGAAGACTCCCGATTGCCATCAAGGCCCTGCCTGAAGGCTCCTGAACTTCAGTGGGCTACGTCTTGCATCAGTTGGGTTGAACGTTTAGCAGGGGCTTACAGACATTGTCATCTGGATTTGTGTGCCGTGTCCTAGGCAGTATCCCAGGATTTAGATAAGTAGTGTATTAGATGTTCGTGTATACGATATCTGAGGGTTGATGATGTCGAGGGCTTTGTGTGTTGCATCAGGTGGAAAGGCTTCTCATCAAAGGGGCTTCATGGGGATGAGAGCCGAATTTTGCAGGCGTTACGCGGAGTGTTCAGCATGTCCACTGAGCAGGCCCAAAAAAGGCATCCACTTTCGCAAGTACCTCAGACAAGTGCAATGTCTCAAACTGCAGGGCCCTTTCCCTACCCCACAACTAGCAGCACCCAACAGCCAGCTACTTAATCATTGGCTTTTGGATTCCGTACTCCCCCCGCCCCTTTTGCATGGCAACTCCATGCAACTCCCGTGTAACTTTGGGGCATGTGGGAGGAGCATGTGCTTTGGCGCTTTGGCGCTTTGCAAGGCATGGTGGTGCCAACAAAGACCGCGCTCTTCACGATGGCGAATCTCCTGCAAGAAGAGCCTACAGAAGGATGCAAAATCTCAGACTCTCTTTTCTTGTACGGCTCATGCTACATCTCGTCTTCTCCTCTGGCGGCTAGGCGTTCTTCGTACACCTGAGTGCAATCCCCATGTCCAACAGCAACCCACATGACCAGAATCTGTGCAACTAGATTAACTACCATATTCTCTATAATACATTACTGAAGTTAGTGCTGTTTCTACGCTTGCTGCAATGATATGTGGGTCATTTAATTCTGGCATCTGACCTGCAGACCAGGTAAACACGGATCCCAAGTGCTTCTGGCTCACCAACTTCCTGGAGACGCTTTTGGTCCAGGTAGGTCTGCTTTGAGATCATGAATCATGACATTTGGTCTTTGTTTCATGGTTTTGGTGAGCGTGGAGGCTTCCCTATCAGATCAGTTCTGCCTGTACAGAACGTGTGTCTTTTTCTGTGAATGCTTTGAGTCCTCTTGCGGAGCGACCTCACCCCGACAATGCATACCCAGTGCATACCCCAACTGATAGCTGTGTAGCTAGTGCGGCATCATGGCGAGGATTCCTGCCAAATCACGCCTGAGTTTGTTGTGCACATGGGCGTATGGTCTTTCTCGACAAAGTCATCTTGGAATCTTGGATTTGCTTTCCTCCATGCAAAGCCTTTGATGACCGAAGCTCACTTCTTCCCTGTGTGAGACTCTCTGCGAATATCGCCTTCTGTGAAGATTGCAGTCCAGATTTTCATAGCTTCTTGAAGTATTTTGCGGGATCGTGCACCCCAGCCAAATGTGGTCACATTTACACCTCCCGCTCGCAGTGTAAGCCTGACCAGGTGTGGTATCCAATGACTGTGGCCAGCAACAGCCGCTTTCAGAAGATTTCCATCCACAAGGCTGGCGTTCAAGACTCGCATGCTGGTTGTTTTGCAGATGGATGTGCCTGTTACGGCTCAGTATTTGCGCGCTGTACGTGTTCCAGCTGTGATGATTACTGGCTGACTTGCATCACCCCTGAAGCCCTAAACCCCAATCCCACAACAAGACAATAGAGCCTCAAACCCTACGCTACAAGCACAAAGAACCCTCAAACATGGCAGCAGAGGCCCTGGAGGAGACTGGGAACACGGAATGGGCGTTGCCAATGGGATTCTTGGCGCCAGATGAGTTGAGGGGTTCTGAACATCATGCATGGCAGTGGATGCGAATTTTCTGGATGATGTGGTTATGTGGGTTAGGAATGCAGGACACATTTGCATGGATAGCATAGGACATTGCTAGGCTAGTATGTTCAAGATGTAAGCAGTGAGTAGTGAGAACGTCCTCTCCAATAAATCCAGATCTGAGACCTTCTGACTTATGAAGGGTAGGCTGTGCCGTTCCTAGTCACTAGCCTTTCGCCAAAGCAGCCACATGGACTTTGATAATTTCGGGCGTGGTGTTGGTGTCAGCACGGCAACAACACTCCCAGAAATGGAGCCTCTCCCTGGGATCCCGAAATATGGCCTGTGGGCAAGATCCACATGTTTTGGGGTGTTTTTGGGGAGCTTGATGCATTTACATATATTTACATCGATTGACGATAATCCCCTCGCCCCTCGCAATCTCTATAGATACCCATGCCGCATACTTAGCTTGACATAGACCCAAACTTCTTACTCTCACTGTAATTGATCCCCATAACTGATGGCCTGTTATAGCTGGTGGACAACCGCATCAAAGCAGCTGAAATTGCTCCAGCAACCTGCCAAGCCCCATCATTCTCAAGACTTGGACCATCCCAATAACGGAAAATCAAAACTTGGAAATTAATTCCATCCAGCATCCCTGTGTACAAGTACCTTCCATATTCCCCAAACCACAAGAAAACCTTGAGACTACTAAAGCTTACTATAGGGATATATAGGGTTATATTAGGGGTATATATTGGGATTATATAGGGATAATGGAAATGAAATGGAAACTACTATACTGAGGAACCGGCTTCAAGCTGCACGACTTCGGCTTCCGAGGCGTCTCCTCAGTGGAGTCGGCGGCCATTGGCGGAGTCCCTGGGCTTTAGCCATGTAGACAGCATTCTTTGATTCTCACGGCATGCCACCACAACATCCGCTGAACCCACCCAAGCCTAAATTTCAGTTCCACCAAACAGACATTCCATTGGCCCAAGTTGGAAACCCTGCTTGCCCCAAACATTGAAGTGAAGACATCGCATCAGCATGTAGTGGGCTTATGCTTTCTGGAATGGGGGACACCGCAGTCTCACTATCCATTCGTGCTGGTCTCGTCACGCATATTGCTTGTATCGTTCTCCCAACCATCGCCACTTCTCTTCGGATCATTACCAGAACCATCGGTTCTGACATGATTCCGAGTACGAGTATTCTGACCATCATTTCCGCGCCTGGGCTCTCTCCTTACTCCGCGGCTGCTGAGGAACTTAAACTAAGTTACTCTAGCCAGGAAACCTTGTTATTCAGAACATACCAGTACTTTGGTAACTTAATTCAGGACCCATATAGTGGTAACTTAATTTGAGTTTCTGAAACAGCAACTCAACTTAAGGCCGGGAATAAGGGCATATAATCCCTATATAAGGTATTCCCTTATTCCCGACTCATCCCTAAACTTTAAATCCTATAGTATATTCCCTTACTCCTACTTACCCCCCCCCCAGCAAGTTAAGGCTGGCCACTTGGTGAATTTCCTTGGCACTGACACTGTTGCAGCTCTTCTCTGCTGTAAGAAGTACTACAGCTCAGTGCCCCTGGGCTGTGACATGGGGTCTAGGGATTTAAGCTTTGCCCTGGGTTGGGACATTGGGTTTAGGGATTTAGGGTTTAGGGATGAGTAGAAGATCATATAGGGTGCGCAGGCATTCTATTGGCAGTGCTGCCTTCCATCCGACGTCTACAGCTTCCGGATTTATTGCTTCCCCGCTGTTCCTAGCACGGCTACAGTAGAGACCTGCATAACCCTGCGCAAAGCATTCAGAGCCGTCTTGGTATAGAGCCCTTGTGTGCATGACGCCTTTTTTTACTTGTGTAAGCCTGGTCGGAGATTTAGAGGGACTAGTCTGGGGCAGAGTCTGGCTATGGCATAATTTTAAGGGTTTAGGAGATCGGGTTTGGAGCCAGGTCCAGCTCGAGCTGGGGCCCAGCCTGTGTTTGGGGACTCTCCACTCCGACTTTGATATAGCTCTCAGTCAACGACACTCAGGCCCAAAACTACTCCCACCAGTCTCGAACCTATAATGCAGGACGTCTGCTTCAGCCCTCCAAAATACCAGGCCCAAAAGCCCACAAGAGCTACATGCTTAAACCTTCCAGCTACTGAAAGGAAAGCCTGTGGCTTCTCCATCCCTGCCTCGGAACACTCCACCATTACCTCCTGGGGAGTGGACGGCGAGGCCTCCGAGCTTGTTGTGTCCAATCTGTGTTTTTTGTTGGGGATCGCAGGTCTCTCGGGTACAACTATGGCTGCAAGACATCGTACTTTGCCGTCCCATGATCCTTGTCGTGATTCTCAAGGCTGTATTGTTGACTCCTAAGGTGCTTTCTCTCAACCAAGCCTCACGCACAGACAAGGAAGAATGAGGGAATATGTGATATAGAGAGTATACAGGAATTGTATTCATTTAATTTATTCCCTGCTAGTAAGTTGAAGAAGATGCTGCAGCGTTGATGTTCCATCATGTATTACCTGCAGCAGTGTGCCCCGCATCGAGTCACAGTTTCCTTCCTGGTCCTGAGTTGGATCCCTGTAGTTGCCCCCTATGCTCTGGGGAAGTCCAGTTTGCTACTTCATTAGAGCGTTCCCGACTAGCAGCCAGCAAGCTTCTGGGGGGTTTTGTGAGCAGGATGGGACAAAGTGGACTGCCTTCGGAAGATGGATGGTTAACTTCTGTGTGACATGATATGCCTTCATCTCCCCTTACTGGTGATGTTCAGTGCATATCTCTCAGCTTGCGTGTGGCTTTTAAACCAACATCCGCGAGAGACCCATCTCAAACTGTTTACCCAGCGGCTCCAGGTTGATGCCATGAAGAACATGCTGACTCAGTACCCCACGGGGCTTGTTGCCTGTGTTGGGGTGCCCAGGCCGTCGTGTCGCTGTTTCAGATCTCAGGGAACATGCTAGGCATGTCAGACTTCCAGGGATTGCCCTTCATCAGTGTGCATCTGGCCATGCAGGACAAATAGTGTCTGAAAGTTAGTTGTATTTTCTCCAGATATTTGCGGTACCAAGGATTCTGCAGTGACTCTAGCTCATGCGGATAGAGAAGCCAACTCAACTGTGCCGTTCAACGCCTTTCGCTGCACAACAATCAGTTATGTCTCAAAGAAGGGCTTCGCCCAACGGATCCATCTCAAACGGTTTGGACCCTCCTGAGAAGAACATGAAAAAAGTGACCCGTAATTTTGAGAAACCACATGAAAGTCCAACCTATTGTAAGAAGATCCCCAAAATGCGACCATACAAAGCTACCATGATCCCGAACAAGGGAAACCTGTTTCGTAGACATTCTGAGGTCAGTGATTCCTTCGACGTCTTCAAGGCCTGCAAGGACCGGAAACTCCATCTTATGAATCTCAGCGCTTGTGCCTGTCAGCAGGTCCTTAGTACTGAATGCTGTCTCGTTACCTGACTGATCCCCCAAGTCTCACGAAACAAAGAAGGGCAACACAGGCGTAGTCTTTGTTAAAGCTTGCGTTTAGACTGCAGCTGAAGTCTTGTGGCTTCACCGTCATTTGTCCAGGGCCCCTAAGGCAAAGATTCTGGTAGTCGCCTCTTGTCCCACAGTGTCATCGTGCGGTGCGTCAAGATCGCAGTCCCACTCTCTTCAGCTTACAGTCTTTGAACTTTCTGGTCATGGTCATCAGAACCATGCTCAGTATGCCAGCATGCCCAACCTTCAGACTTTGCTGTTTCCTTTGAATAGAGTAGAATGCGCACCTATCGCCAGACTGAATGCTGGCTGTGCTGTAGGACTACTGGGGCGACAAGCTGAAGGACTTGATCAAGGGCAGAAGCCTCAGCCGTTGGTTGGCAGCGGGTCAGAGTCTCTGACTTGGGATTTGTGCAACTCTGATAGAACTTGCATGAGCGGATGAATCTGCAAGGAACATCATGTTGACAAGGCTGCAGGCTTTCGGTTTCGTGCCCCTCCAATGCTTCAAGTGCTCTAGGCACCATGAATGAAGTGCACTGAAAATGATGCAACACATTGTGACATAGCAACTTGAATCTGATCGCAATTCTACCTCCTCGTGATGTTCTCCAGAACCCCACCAAAAACCGAAATCCCCATAACTCTTCAACGCAACATGCCCTAGAATCCAGTGAGTCGGGACGTTCAAGGCCGTATCTCCGGCGACAGCTTCGGCCGACTTGTCGTCCGACCGGACAGCGGAGATCCTGCTGACACCTGCAAACAGATTCTGAAAATCCTGCCTGGCACTCAGCTCATGAAAAAATGAGACGCGCAGGTCAGGAAAAGATATTGTGAACACTGAAAATTGTTCGCAAGACGCATGCAACTATGATAGCAAGGGCCCTGAGTTCGTTCCTGCAATTCCCGCCCACTGGAAGAAAGAGAAGATCCTTTTTAGAACCAAGCTGTTCAGGAAGCTGGGTTGTGATGAGACTTTGTAATTTGAACTCGGGCTAGAGGGCGGTGGCTTAACTGATTGATTGCGCTGGCGGGGAAACTGGGTCAGAATATGTCGTGCCATGATTCTCATGTCTCCGCACAAACCCTCAATTGACAGCTGGAATTGCAGTCCAGTCAACAGCCGGCCCGGCTCAGGTGTGAGCAGTTCAAAGAAGATGCTTCTTGGATGCGGCTTTAGAGGCAGCGTCTCAAAGACACTATGGAGCGAAGCCGTGCAAGACCCTCCTGTATCAGCATCTACTTGCAGTATCCTAGGTGACCACCACGAAGACTGGTCACAAGCTGCTCCCAGCGTACATCCGTGTGATTCAGGGCGATGGTTGCGGCCTCATTTGCGGGGTCATTGCTACACAGCTACACACCTACAAATTACACATACTTTGAGTCGCATCCGGGAAAAGGAGCCTGATCTCTTGAGCATGCCAAGCCAGCTTGATCATCTCCTATGTGGGAGTTGCTCAAAACGACCCTTCCTCAATCCTAAATAGGGACTGCACTTGGCCCCCTTAAATCCAGACAACTCCCTGGTGTTCCTAAACGGCCTCTTTCTTAGGAGACATGCGCATACTACTCAACAGGTTTGCTGGCCCAGGTGCCATGTTGACGATTCCTGAGCCGCATTGTTGGAATGACTTGTGGTAGTACCTGGTCCATCATAGATCCCAGCAATGTGGGCCAGCTTTATTGCCAACCATCGCTGCTACGTGTACGAATGTGCTGCCTCTGTCCACTTCCTGCCAAAAGACACTGTGAAGCAAACCTTTTGCCCAGGAGTCGACTATGAGTCTGTCCCCAAGATCCTGCTGGGGGCCCAGGTTTGCAATGCTGTAGGCAGGGGCTTCACAAGATGACGCATCCCTTTCCCTGGGTATCTAGAAAAAACACTGCATGATTGTGGGGAGTACATGTAGATGTATGCGACGCGCCCCTGATTGTCAGAAGATGTTTTGAATAGTTCGGGGATTACGGGGAGGCCGAAATTTCATCCTTGGGGTGGGTTCGGGACCAACCCTAAAGCCTAAGCCCCAGAGTTTAAGGTGGAAACGACTGTCCAAAAAAGGAACAGGAGTTCAGCTCCCACGCAGGAAGTCGAGTATGACTAGTCGAGCGTGAGTTAGGCATATCGGGGCTGACAAGTTCTAGATACCCTCAATGAAGGGGGTTTAGGTTGGACTGGACCCTTACCCCTATATACCCCAAAAACCTCAACTATACACTCCAATACAACTATATTCCCTCAATATTACCTCCATATTATTCCCCATACAACCCCAACATTCCCTCAAGAGTCCCAGTATTCCAAAGCCATCCTTCGGCTAAGGAAGTCCCTGAAGAACGCTGGCTACGCCCCTTGCCACGCACATCTTTGGGCTTAGGGCGAAGGGCATACGCAGGAATCAACAAATACTACCTGAATCACCAAATGTGGGTGAAAGAATGGCACGAAAGCCATAACGCGATTCAAACATGCCACGGTTCTACATACTTTGGGGTCCATGCGTTCCTTTTCTGCAAGGTATGAGGCTTTCGTTCAGCTTGTGTAAGAAGCAAGGTCAGACTTTGGAATCCTCAGATCCCTCCATACCAAGGCCGCAGAAAATATGGTGTTTGGAAGCGGCGGCGCTCTTTTGCAGAAGCTTAACCGCGACACCTTCAAATGCCCCTTGACAAAGATATCAACTAGGCCTTGCGTAGGCAGCTTCACATGCCGCTTTCTCAAGCATGCTTTTTGTCCCGGGGTGTCTGCGTAATGACGATGATCCTGCTGTTCAGGGAGGGATGAGGAGGGTCAATGGTTCAAGGGTAACCCATGAGGGTTGTTGTTGACTTGTAGGCGTATCACGGTCCTGCGCAAGAGGACCCAACGTGGAGATCTCGCCTTTAGTTTCTCTACCAGTGCATTGTACAATTGTTTTGAGTGCACCCTTGCCCTTCAAGTTTGATCCTCTTCAAGTTTGATCCTTGCCGAGCTTATGGAAACGCAAGGGAAGACCGGCTGAAGTCTTCAGTCGGCGGCTCTCTTGTGTCTTTTCTTGTTATCTACTCTGGCATAGCTTAGACGCGTGTCCCTGAAAGGTGCTTTCAAGTGCTCCGAGATCACTGTGAACGGTGAGATTAGGGAGGTCTTCAAGGACCACAGATTAACCCCGTCACTCCTATTGTGTCAAGCATGTTCCAATGATGAACACTGGGGGGTCCTTATATGGGAGAGAACCCATAGCAAGGAGTGTGAAGGGTGTGCTACGTATTCAACATCTTGTGCCAGCCCTTGCACCGGTCCCACTGTCGCCGCCACCACGACCAGCAGCGTTGGAAGAAATTTGCTGGTCTTGATCATGTGATTTAGCCAGCCCAGGAGCCCACAGCCCAAAGCCTGTACCAGGACCCCATCACCGACAAGGGCAAGGCATCGAAGAAGGGCCGACTCACCGTTCAGCAGCTTGGCAGTGACGGTGAGTTCCTCCGAAGAACTCCTTGAAATATTGTTTCAGGATCAAGTGGTGTGGCCCCTAAGGTTGAAGGCAATACCACCCTGAACCTGGTAGGTGGAGAAGTTGATTCCTGAACCCTCGATTGGGCGATGATACGCAGCAGAATGAAGTGGGTAGTGGCATTTGAACATGGCATTTGAACAGGCTGCAGCTGTTACTGGAGTGGCAGTGGTTTTAGGTTGCATTTGTCTTTCACCTTGCTTCCTCTCCCAGTGCAAGCTCCACAAGTTGGCTCCAAGCCTGGAAACTGTCCCATCGCAAGCATCAGCCAAAATGTCTTTAAGCTGGCCGCAATACTCGGTTTGTTGCAACAAAAGGCTGTTCACGCTATCTAGCAGTCGCTCCGGCGTGAAGCGGCGCTCTGGCGTGGAGCGTCTTCGAATTTTGGCCGGACAACGCGCGGAGCAAAAACAAAAACGCTCCCAAGGGCGATTTTTTTGTTCCGCGTGCTCCGGAGCGTCTGACGAGGCAATTGCACGCATAGCGCGCGAAAAAGTATACGCATAACAGTGTTACAAAAAACCGCAGAAAAAATATGCGGAGCAAAACAAAAACGTTCTTACCCTGTATGCAGTCTGGAACAAGCAGCCATAGACAAAGCTCCTTCTCCACTTCGTAGCCTTTTTGGCCCCAGGCTGGCCTCAGAGACCAAGGGTTTCAAGGACTCCGACAAGTACAAGCCACGCCGCCTGGCAGTGGAAGTCAACATGTTTTGCCTTATTACATTGTTGTTGTGTTGTATGGGATCGCTTGAAGGGATAATTGGACTTAAGGCTTCAACAGGTCGCGGGCGTCTCATGTCAAAAAGAACAAACCCAGGTCAGGGAGACAAGGGCACGGCCGGTGGTACTGGATTCCTCCACTACAGCGCTGACAACAAGTATGCACCTCGCCTGACATGGTTGAGTCAAAGCGTCCATCTGCCAGCCATGCTTGCCAATGACCCTGTTATTCCAAGCGCTCTTGGGTTTGGGGTTTTGTTCCATTTTGCGTGTAGGGAGTGGTGAGTAGTCACCTTGCGGTAGGGTGGGTTACGATGCACTCCCAGGGTCCAGTAGCAATCGGTCGAACATGTCCGGCAGTCCGAAGCTCAAACCAAGCTCAACACATCCAGGCCCGCCAAATTCCCCAAGCTCATGGAATCTGAACGCATAATCAAAACGAAGGATCATTGACATTGAAGCCATGACAAACACATGAAGCTGGCGATGGCAATGCCGTAGCAAGACAAGTAACAGCAGTACCTATCTTGAAACGTTGTAATTTCAAATCCGCTTGCAAGGTCACCGTTGCCAGCGGCAAGGGGGATGCCTCCAAGGACTTGCTCGTGGAGGCACCATGGGACGAAGTGAGAAGACGGATAAGCGCCATCCCACGGGGTTGGGGACATTGAAGTGAAGCTGGAGGCATAAGTACGAAGAACAGCATTGCAGTACGCGCATGTCTTCCGATTTGTGCAGTAGTGCGACAAGCTTCAAAAAAGAAAGTGCCATGAATGAGGGCAGAGGGTAGCGTAGATCGGACCCGTTAGAGACCCCCAAACAAGTCTACATTGTAGACCTGTGTAGTCCTCCCATTTTGCCTCGCAGTCGCCCTTAGGCAACTTCTACATACGCTGCTCACTACAGGCTTGCACGAACCGTACTAAACGCGTGGCAGAGTAGACGTGCCGGTCCGCACCAGTTGCCTCATCGCCTTGCCGGCCGAACATCGTGATCTTGAGAACCTGCTGTGGTAGAAGACTTGGATCGCCTGTAAAGAGTAGGAGAACAGTTCTTTTTGACTGGAGTCCCATGTAACAGAACTAGCAACACAATAGTCTTACAGGGGATCACCGAACCTCATCCGTAGCCGATCCGCCACCCAACGCAAGCCGTACTTGAATTGAGAGTGTCTCTTCATATCCCGGGCAGCGCCCTTAAGCTGATCAAACTTGACTGCCACAAAATGACTTGCCCCAGAACGTTGGATCCTGACCATGTGAATTGCACAAAGAGAGAGGCCATGATGTTGCGAAGCCCCATACAAACCTGACCCTGCGTGGCCCTACGTAATCTGTCTGTCAGGTCTTCCGTAATGGCGACTTGCTGAAGGCTGGTGCAGGGAGGGAGTACTTTTGCACTTACTACGTGTAGCACTTGTGCGTGGGGGTCAAAATTGAGCACCTTGCATGTATCTCATGATGGCGAAGGACGATCTGTCCCGCAGTGCAATGCTAAATTCTTTGATGAGGGAAGGAGCTGACTGGGGGGCTTTGTGGAGGTGATCTCAACCTTCAATGCAGCCAGCTCGCCATGGTTCTTGTAGGTAAGCCCGAAAGTCAGCGAACATACGCTGTTCATTTTCGCAGGACGCGTTAGGATAAGAGGACACCCACGCCGGAAACCCTGGTTTGCTGTACAACCCTGGCACGTCTACTCAATCATTGCGGCCCGCTGAATCATATCATCATGCAGAGTGTGATGACGAGTAGTGCGACCTTGCATACTAGTTACTCGAACGTGCCCGTTGCGGCCTTGCTATACCAACCGAAAGTAAAGAAAGAGCAACAACTTAAACATAGGATTTCCACAGTCGTCCGCTAATTTGCCCCATGCCCACATGGAGGACTACTCCTTCGATGAGATCAGAAAGAGTGCCTCAGATGTCTTGGTTTTGGTGAAAAGGGCAGGGGCGGTGCTTCTGGGTATTACTGTTTCTCGTGGGCTCGAACCTCTAAACATCTCCAAACCCCAGACCGAAACCCGAAGCCCGAAAGAGAGGTCTCGGAGGCCCATGGTCTTTCGGTTCGAAAGCGCGGTGAGCAGCCAAGAGGCCCATCTTGGAGTTGTCCACCAAAGGCAAGGTACCCCTGTCTTACAAATCCTCTGTGATGTTTGGCGCCAGGCCTTGCCGAATGCAGAGCTTCTTTGTATTCCATCGGAAAGGGCTTCTGGAGCTGGCTCAAAAGCGTAGTGGATACAGGCAGCAATAAACTTGAACCAGAGTTGATGGGAGCAGAATATTTGATGTAAAGCCAATTGAAGACCATTTGTTTCTGGAGCAACTTGTGCTGGCTGCTGAGCTGCCCCACTACCAGCGGCAGATGTCTGCCAATCTTTCAGGGCCTGACTGCCATAGGTTGATGTCGGAAGTCTTCATCACCTGGGTGAAATATGTAATCCCTATTGTAGTTTCCATTTTCTTTTCCATTCTCCCAATATAACCCCCTATATAACCCATTATAGTAGTTTCCATTTTCTTTTCCATTATCCCAATGTAACCCTATGTAATACCCCATATGATAGCATCTCAGGGTGTTTACGGTACCACCGCGATATGTCAATAGGGCAGTGTGCTAAGGGTGATGCAGGTCTGCCTCTTCAGTCAGCTCTGCCTCTGAGTCTTGAGGTTGCAGCTACCCTTCTTTCTGGCCACCCTGCCGGGTCACATTCAGAATTTCCCGTTTTGCAATTTTGTTGCACGTTTCCAGGCTCCCAGGAAGATCCAAACTCCTTTACTGGACGGACGTATCGGAACCTTCCTGCTTATGATAGTTTTGAGTGAGATAGCTCATACATGTTGATTGCATCCCAACGCCCTGTGAATACCCCTCATCCTTTTTGCTCTGAACATTGCGGCTTGTAATGCTTTGACGCCAAGGGGCCGATATCCCGAATGGCCCTTTTGCAGAGCCGCCTAAGGAGGTCCATGGGACAGCTTTCATACGAGCCGTTTGGAAAAACTCTTTCAGGGAATGTAGCATGCTGCTGAATTTCCTCGTACAAGGCGGCATCATTTGAGGTGTTCTGGCAAGCGCTGCAGGTAAGCTGCAGGTGCTGTATGTGATATGAACAGATTCGGGTTTCGCGCAGAAGGCAATGGATAGAGTCACCCTTCATGATGCTTCAACAGGCTTGTCAAATTTTGTGACAGGCTGCTGCTCCTTGTTGCTAGTTTCCATTGGGACGCAGCTGCTGAAACATACCTGAAACGAGGGTTGAAAGACAAAGCCTCCTTCATGTCAGATATGCCAGATTTGATCCTCCGCTTTGTGTCCATCTAGGGTTGCCACATCTGCTGTTCTGAACCGTGCTGTCCTCGTGGTGTGCGGCATTTTTTCTCATCTAACAGAAAGCAAAGTTCTGGTTCCAAGTGTTCAGGCCTAAATACAACAGCCGAAAGCTCACATTTTGTTAAGCTCTGCTGCACCCTGGCAGCGCAACACGCATGTACAGCACGACAGACTAGTTCTCCGGGTTGCAATGAAGTGAGTGTTGCTGTTCTCGATCTTCCCAGAAGCCTAGTTCAGATTCCTTTTTTCCTCGTGGACATCCTGCGCATAAGGTGCTGGATATTCCGGGCTCTTCTTTCATCGGGCTGGGAGGAGGTTAAACATAATGCTCTGTGCTCTGCTCTGCAAATTGGCGAGGAACGCCCCAGAAGTTGACACAGGTAACTTGACCCCACAAGTCCTCCAAAGTCTGTAGAGGGTCACTGGAAGACTTTCATTAGCCCGGTGTATGATAGGGCTGTCTGTAAAGTGGATGCGTTGAAGCTTTTCTGATCAGGAACCTTGTAAAGTTCCAGCATGCCCGCCCCCCCAATTTCCAAAGCATAAGCCGTGGAATGTCTGAATGGGCTTCGAAGAGGCAATCCAAAGAAAAGAGCCTCTCCCAGTTCCGAAGCCCCGGTTTGGAAAGCGCTCCCCGTGCTGCAGTGGGTCATCAACATCGCGAAAGAAGGAAAGAAGCTGGGTCTCACCCTCGTCAGTGAGGGCCAGGACATCTCTTCAACTCATTGTTGAGCTTGCGCATGCAAAGATTACAGTTTCATGTCGTAGGCCTGGAGATGCAAACACACGTAGTAGGGTTTCAGTTTCATGTCGTAGGCCTGGAGGTTCAAACATGCGTACTAGGGTTTCAGTTTCATGTAGGCCTGGAGGTTCAAAGATGTATCATTCTGCAGCGCGTGAGAACTAGGATCGAACGTTGCGTGCCCAAACCCACATGATGGGTACTGGCAAGCCGCGTGTTCATCAAAGGAGGATCCATTCAGGTGTTCAAAGCGAGAAGCTGCGGAGCTTCTCATGTTCTTACTGTAGCCGGAGGCCTGCCTTGGGTCTGGGATCGGACTATTCCGTGCGTGTTTAGGGTGTCACATTGTTCTCAGGTAGTGCCTCAGCAAATCCCATAATTAGAATGCATACTTGTAACGTCAACATGCCCCTTGAAAGCTTCATGCGCCTGCAGGACAAGCTGAAGGTTACTGCCATGCTGCCCGGCGCTGCCGAGGAGTTCAACAAGGCCAACCCCGACCAGGCCCAGGAGGGACTCATCAGCTACTACTAGGAGTGGGGAGTCCGGGTGGTGATTGAGTGTCACTCCGAAAGATTGTGGTGCATGGGTGGCACAAGAAGTTGAATACTTTTTGGAAGTCAGGGTTCAGGATGGTGAAGTAACATGATCCTGGGACACCAGCAGATTCGTGTCCTAATTTGGGCATCACCACATGTTTCCAGCTTCAACAAGGTCTGGCGGGAGCAGCGCTATGAAAAGATTTGAATCGCCTGAGCTTCAGAAGCTCCAGGGTTAGGGACCGTCAAGCAACATGCCACATGTTAGCAACTCTCGTTGAAGCGCCCCTGCAAAGGCTTTCAATGTCCGCGAGCCACTCACTCATTCTGCATAATGCATGAGACTACGTCCAGGAGCTAGCCTCAGGCCAAAGCTGTGCCCCAACAACCTTATTTGTACCCACCCCCCCCCCCTAATTTGCCCGCAGCATCTTCATGTTACGTGCGCATCCAAGGTCATATCATCCGAAACAAGACACTAGGCATGCCGGCACCCATAATGACGTTCATTTCGACCTCATCCACAACAACTGAATGCATGCCGGCACCCATGGTAGCGTTCACTTTGACCACATCCACAACCACCAAAACACTGCTATACGCAGCACATTCCCATGAGCGGCATTTGGCGTGGGCAAATAGGGGGAGGGGGCGTATTCGTATTTTAGAAGCAGGGCAAGTCACAAGAGAGAAGCTCACGATTTGAAGCCCGAAAACCGGGCACCCGGAACCTCGGATACCCCAAGTTCTGAATGCCCGAACCCACACGTCCTCGGATCGTTATCAAACCTGCTGCAATTTGGAAGAGAAATCTGCAAGGCAGTATGGAATGTGGGCATTGTTATGTGTTCCTCATGAGACCACTTTGATAGGCGCGTTCAACTCAGATGCAAGAACGAAGGCCATCAAGCTGGGTGACTACATCACCAAGGTAAACACTGTGACAGGCCTGGCCCTCGGGTGAGTAGCCAAAGAACCGGCAAGAAGGATCATGACCTAAACGCATGTGAGGCTGATGTAGGAGTGTCAAGGCAAGCATGAGGTGACCTCCACATAGA